CTTGACGATTTTGCCTTTTACGGACATTTTTGCCTCATAGTGTTACAAGATTCCAGTTTGGGTATGCTAGTCTGAATATTCCATATAAAGGGAGGAGATGTGAACCTAAGCCTAACTCCGTCCCTTATGATAAACTGGTTGCCAGCAACCTGGTGGACATTAAGAGGTTTAAAAAGGAAACTCAAAGCAAGGTTTTCAAGTCACCATCTCACGCATGAACCCTGCAAACACAGCAGCCTTTTACATAGGTTGAAGACAATCTTTCAACAAGCTACACGTCATTATCCTCATCATCATTATCATCGCTACGAATGTCACATATCCTGGCAAACTCCTGACTCATATACATATGGAAAGGGCCACCCTCCTTAATTAAGTGCTATCAAGCAGGCCAAGTAAACTGCTGTGTACCGCTGTATATAACTGAAAGGTGGGGTAAAGATGTAAGCAAGCACTTGTGCTCTGGATAAATTAAGTTTAAAGAGGAAAGCTGTGTATACTGCATGTGTCATAAAAAACAAAGCAGTAGTTATGACACAGCAACCAAGATGATGCCTAAAACTAAATTTTATACCCCAACAAAACAAAGAGTCAAACTTTCAGAAGGACTTATTTCTGCTGCTTTGCTCTGATGTGGTTTGACTTGTGTGCCTTTACGTAAATCTAGATTTCAAAGTCAACAATACAAGCTCAAATTTGACAAATCTCCAAAACAGATGCTGCGACCACGTTGCAGGCACGCCCTCGCAAACTGCCTTGTGGTATTAAAATCACACCATACAATTACAAGGGGGACAAAAAAACCTATACAGGCTGCGGAGAAATGCTCTCATAAGTTCAAACAGTAAATCTCCCAAACAAACCACAGCAAATTTAATGGACCTTCACTCAGCTGAAAGAATGGAAACAGTCTTTCTAATATAAAAGACAGAATCAACAGTCAGACTGAGGGGGTATTTACTGAAGCAGCCAAACTGAGCGTGGATAATGACACTACATGGAATGTGAGCCTAACCATGCACAGTGTTTACAGGCAACAAGCAGTTCAGATCAGGGGTTAGCTACCGAGGCCAGTATCATCACCTTCATTTTGTGGTTTTCTTGGCTGCCAAAAATTCCCACTTCTGGCACAAACATCTTCTGTGAGGTTTCAAGCACAGCCTTTATGTGACAGGAAAATGATAGCCCTCTCAGAGAACTTTTTTTTTCTCAAAACACCATCTCAAAACAGAGGCCAGCAGCATTTGATTTGTTTCTCTGACAGGTCTTCATTTGACAATGATGCATCTACAGTTATGATGAAAAGCCTCAGCATTTATATAAATGATTTGTCTTGTTAATATTAAAGCTCAGAGTGCTCAGTGTTTCATTTTTACAGTAGAAATGAAAATGATAATTATATTATTTATAAAGATACTTAAAGGTAGACAGCTCTGGAAACTGTGTTCTTTACTTTACTTTCACTAAAAGTATTAAATTAACTTTAAGATACTACCAAACTGAAAATAATACATGTAAGTTTAAGTCATCAGTAAAAATTCAAATGCATGAACAACAAATGTAATCTCTTAATCTCAGCCATGTCGTCGGCAAAAGACTTAGGACTTGAGGTTAGGGTTGATTTTCACCAATCAGAAACTAAAAAATGTTGCCTTTCAAATCAAGTCTCTTACATGCATTTCGATCATGCAGTTAACCGCCCATTTTTTAACGATTTCTATTTGCATATTTCAAAAAAGACAAAAACTCCTGATACATGGTATACGTGAACCTAATCCTAAACCAAACCAGTCTGCGAGCAACCTGTTTGATGTTAAGAGGTCAAGAGACAACACAACTAGACTGTCTGGAAAATATATATATGTGTCACCGCAAGTTTGAAGAACAAACTGCCAACTTTGTCCATGACGCTCCCTATCTACTGATAAATTGGAGTAAAGCTATAAATAGTTTGTATTGTTGTTCGTATATGGCACGAAATGCATTAAGATGATGTTGATTTGACACCACTAACTACACATTTACTAGCATGGGCAGTACAGGAAATGGATGGGTGCAGTATTGGGTGGACATATACAGCTGCTGTTCATAGGAGAGGGTACAACTGGGTCTTATACCAGCAAGCATAAACTGTCTGGGAGCAACACCACAGATTACTATGCTGTGAAGATCATGCTGTGAAAAACCCACTCCACAATTTACAGGGATCAGTGTTTCAAGTCAGATTGTGATCTTATGGAGCAGAAATCAGAAGTTAGGGTTATTCAAGGGTCATAAAGGCTGTACAATAAATGGACACAAGATGCTCTATTATCAAGCCACTATCTCAACATATAAATTCAATTTCAGTTCATCAATACATTTACTAAATTCAACGATAAAGATAGAGCTGACCAAAAGCTAAAAACAGAAAAAACAGAGGCATAATAACATTTTGACATATACATTCTATCAACTGATTAATTACATTTTTGTGGGTTTTTTGTAATCCCTAGCTGTTGAAGGCCAGCAAGGCCCTCAAGGTCCTCCAGGTGAGCCAGGACCAATGGGACCTCCTGGACCTCCTGGAAAGAGTGGTGTGGGACACACTGGACCACATGGCCCGCCTGGACCACCCGGACCACCTGGTTTCACTCAAGCAGGTAAACCTGGTGTCTCAGGTAGCCCTGGAAAACCAGGTGCCCCTGGAAAGCCTGGAGAAAGAGGTCAGCCTGGCGCAACTGGACCAATGGGTCACAGAGGTGCACCTGGTACCCCTGGATCTCCTGGACCTGCTGGACTTTCTTCTGTTGGAAAACCTGGACCAGCTGGGATCTCTGGAGCAATGGGTCCAAGAGGAGAGCCTGGTTTAAAGGGACATCCTGGAATTCCTGGTCTTCATGGACCCAAAGGAGAGAGAGGCATTGGAGTTCCTGGCGTTCAAGGACCAGCAGGGCCTGTTGGGCCAATGGGCCCATCTGGAATGCCTGGAAAACCTGGAATTGGTAAACCTGGTGCCACCGGTTATCCTGGAGAACCTGGCAAGCCTGGCGAGCCTGGAAGAGATGGTTCACCTGGACCAATGGGTGTGCAAGGGCCAAAGGGTCATACTGGGCAACCAGGCACAGGAGCACCAGGAAAACCCGGTCAGAATGGCACCCCAGGTATGCCTGGACCAATGGGAGTAAAAGGTCCACAGGGTCCTGCTGGTCAGCCAGGCTCACCTGGCATGCCAGGCGTTGGCAAAACAGGTGAACCTGGAATTCCAGGTAGCAGAGGAGCCCCCGGTAGTCCAGGAACTACTGGTCAAAAAGGAGAGCCAGGCCCAACTGGATTTACCGGTCAGCCAGGTGCTACTGGTCCCATGGGTCCAGCTGGCCCACAGGGTGCAAGAGGATTTCAGGGTGAGGCAGGCCCAGTTGGGCCCAAAGGTGACATTGGCATGGTAGGTGCACCAGGCCCAAGAGGAACCAAAGGAGAACAGGGAGCTCAAGGTTTCACTGGAAAACCAGGTAGCCCTGGAGCAGTAGGTCCACCGGGAATCCCAGGTCATAATGGTGCTCAAGGTCCAAAGGGTTCACAAGGCCATCAAGGTGCCTCAGGACTCCCAGGTAGTAATGGTGCCCAAGGGCCAAAGGGACACACTGGCACCCCAGGAGCACCAGGTAAAAGCGGTGAGTCTGGACTGCCTGGACCAATGGGACCCGTTGGACCTCCTGGTCCTTCAGGTCCCGCTGGACTTAAGGGTCATCCAGGTCTTCCAGGTCCACCTGGCCCAGCTGGCTTGACAGCTAAGGGAATTCCTGGTCCCCATGGTCCTCCTGGAATTCCTGGTTCCAGAGGTCATGATGGTCTCCCAGGTCCTGCTGGTCCTCCTGGACCACCTGGTCCACCAGGAGAGATGGTCTACCACCATGAGAAGAGCATGCCAATCAAATCTCATGAGGTTGTGATGCCTCAGATGATTAAGGCTCCTATGTCCGCTTTTAGTGCTGTGCTAACCACGGCCTACCCCCCAGCGGGAACCCCTATTCAGTTTAACCAGATTCTGTACAATGGAGAGAACCATTATGACCCTCACAGTGGCGTGTTTACCTGCCAGGTCCCAGGCCTCTACTATTTCAGCTATCACATTCATGTCAATGGTGCCAATGCTTTGGTGGCCCTCTACAGAAATGAGGAGCCAGTTCTTTTCACCTATGATGAGTACAACAAGGGCTTCCTGGATGAGATGGCAGGCAGTGCTGTTCTCCAGCTGTATATGGGTGACAGAGTCTATATTCAGGTCCCTGATGAGGAGAGTAATGGCATATTTGCTGCCGATAATGTTCACTGCGGTTTCTCTGGGTTCTTGATTGCCTCAACGTGATTTCACAAATCCAAATAAACCTCAAAACCTTATAAATACTCAGAGAAAAATATCACTTTACAAAGTTCAGAATTTGGATTGCAGATTAAAGAAAAATGTGGTTACAAGTTTTAAAGGTTTAACCGCCTTATTAAATGTCTTCAATTTGCTAAGAAGTTGTTCAGAAATTTATTGCAGATTAAAAATGATCACTTTCCCCAGTTTACTTTGTGTGTGCCTTTGGAATTTTAAAATCCATGAAACATAACAACATAAGATACATGATACTTTAAGTGGTGCTCTACAACTGCCTGTAACATTTACAGCATGTCTTTTACTTGTGTTTGTTTTATTAATGTCTGTTGTTTAAGAATTTTCCTGTAATATACATACAAAAAGACATACAAGAAGGCAAACGTGTACTATATGTCATTAGAGATCAGCACATTCTCACAAGCACTGTGATCAGGAAAGGAACGTAAGATAAAAAAAAATTCAAACCATTTTTTCTAAACAACTATGTCTCCTTGGATGTGTTAAGTTATGTACCACTCACTGACCAAACATGGAATAAAAGTTCTTATTTGAAAACGAAAGATTACCTATGTGTGTTAATTTGTGTTCTTCTCATAAGAAATCTAAAATGTATGCAGGTTTGTAATAAAATTCTTACCTCTGAACGCAGATGTGTTGTAATTGTGGTCAATGGCAGCCACCATGTCTTTCCAAAAGTCAGAATTCACCTCATTTCCTCGCTGTTTGAGAAACAAATATAAATTAAGTTTCAGTATGTGTTTTCTTCATGAAAATGCCAACCAATATTACAAATCTCACAGTAACAAAACAAAAATGACCTTGTGCAACATGTCAACGACTCGTCCACAGAGAAGGGCACCAGGCAGATCAAAGTAGTTATCATAGAAGTAGTATTTTGCTGCAAAGACCAAAAGAAAATATTAGCAAATGAATGAAATGTAAAAAAAAAAAAATTGTGAAAAAATATAAAGAAAATATACATTAGCTTCTCAACTGCTTAAGCTCCAACTAGTCACTGGCAAACCACTATGCCTGAATTTAGCCACAAATTAAAAAAGCACAGTTTCAAAAACATTAGAGTGAAAGATTTTACCTTTCAAATCAAGTTTTTCACATGCAATCTGCTGTAAGCTTATTATTCAGTTTAAGATTATTATTTAGTAAGGTATCCCAAATAGGTGAAATTTCCATATAAAGGAGAAGACATCACCAACCCACAGGTCTCTAGTGATATGGTAGATATTAAGAGGTCAGGAGCTAACAGCTTACAGTTACTGATTGATACAGATGGATGTAAACATCATACAAGATCTCGTGAAGGAGGTACTGAGGCTATTAAAGTGCTTCCACTCTCTTTTGGGGCCATAATGTTTGATGATTTCTTCTGTGCTGAGATCACTGGTTCCATGTGTCGCTCTATTCAAACAGAAGACAAACCGTGATAAAGTTATCATCCCACTTTGAAGTTCTGTGAACGCTGAAACTGTCATGATGCAGACTCGTACCTTAAGACAGTTCCATCTTCCGCTAGCTTTACAAGGTTTCCATCCTCCAGATCCACCACTAGCCCTTTAAAACTGAACACAACAGCCTCTGTTAGAAAAACTATCTGCAGTTACTTGATTTACAAGTACAAGATCAGTGGTCAAGCAATTGTTTGCCATCTGTTGAGCCAACCAATTGTTGGTTTCACTGTGTGTTCAGTGGAAAATGCTTATACGCCAAAGCCAGATGGATAAAGAATGTGTATGCACAAAAACTTGCATAAATGGGAAATGTGCTGTAGAACTATAGCAACACCAGGTGTACGTCTGACCATACCTACAACTTTTTTTTTAAGCAAGGCAAGACCTTTGGACTTGAGCAAAATAATAAGGTGAAGCCATATTTAACATTTAACACCAACATTTTCACATTTCAAATTGTACCCTAATAAATGGGTGCTATAAATAGCTGATGTTTTCCTTCTGCTAACTGACGTACTTTTTTCTTTTTTACATCTGCCAGGTGCTTTTGTTCTAAATGTAGAGTTGATAGCCTCCATTACTCTTTCTCCTTTGACTAGTTTTTCTTTTGCTGTCTGATATCAGATCTAAGATCGCTAAACACACATTTCTATTGTGAATTTACATCCATCCATGGCTAATAAAGGGAGAGGGAATGAGCCACAAGTGTGAAAACACAAGACGACTAACATTTATTAAACAAGACTGTGTCCATGCACAACTTTATAAATCTGATAAAAAATAATGTGTGGGTAAATTACAATAGTTTCTTGCGTCTATGTAGCATTTTATTGTAACTTAAAGACTGTTATCAGGGTGTAGATGCCATAAAAGTACAAAAACAACTCCAAATTGATTCATTATTAATTATCTTTTCAACCTGAAAACACCAACATCAATTTTGTAACACTATCACTTTCGATGGTGAATGCTTCCTAAATTACCATGAGGTTAAGGAATAGCCAGTGTTGCATAGTAAATAAGGATGTGAGCAGTTATTCTGATAGAGGCTTACTAGTCACAATAGTTGGTTGAAGCTTTGGTTCTAAGATGCCATACAGCTACCCACCACTAACAGAATGCAGTAACAGTTTGACATTTCATGGAAAATGTCTAGTGTATACATACCATCATGGTAAGCCAAAATGAAGAAGCAGTATAGTCTATGATTGCATAGCTTGTTGAACCACCTTTAGCAATGGTTTTCTGTGTGACTTTATCACTTATTATTGCCTCTCACATGATTGTTGAGGAGTTTTGTCCCATTCTCCTTTACAATTCTGCTTCGGGTCACTGAGGTTTCTGGGAATTTGTTTGTGGACAGCTGCTTTAAGGTCTTGCCACAGCATTTCAGTCCAGTCTTAAACTATCAAGGTGGTGCAATGGCACCACCTTGATAGGGCTTAGCCATTTAGTTGAAACACTGTGTATTCTGTACAGTACTAGCAAAACAGTAGTGTACAGAATACGCAGTGCCTCCTTTTAACTGATATGATCTATCTAAAACATTACTGATGAACCACTTGAGCCCTGTAAGGCATATATGCTGGCCTTGAAGCTAATTACAGAATCATTAACAAGCTAATGTTAGGAAGCTTTATTTTTAAACAAGAACTTACATTACATGTATTACATATTACATTAGGCTTGTATGTACTTATTATTTATCAGAAGAAACAGGTTCAAGGTTCAAGTAGAATCAAGCTTTTACAATTTTTGAGATAAATGAAATAAATCTCACCTTATCCAGCTAGCATTAGCCAATTAGCTGACGAATTAGCTTGTCTTTTGTGTCCTGACATCCCTTTTGAAGAGGAAATTTTGACCCATTCAGATGTAAAACATTTGCATACCTTTTATACAGAATATATAAGGGACATTCTTTTTTATGCTTTTGTCCTGGTGAAAGTACTCAAGATATACTTAAAAGAAAACCACCAAAGCGGAGCTCCTGCAATGACTTTGATTGATTAAAAGTGATTAAAATACAACTTTCAGTATGTCCACACTTCTTTGGTTTTATACATATGAGAGGCAGAACATTTGTGGTTTGAAACAGATCCCAAATTGATATGTCTGCACTATGGTTTGATGAAATGTTCAGTAAGGTTGAATGGTACTCTGCCCTTCAGGGCTTCACACAAATGAAAACTGTGAATAGGAATGCTTGCACTTCGGTGGGTGCTGATAGTGACATCTGAATGTGAATATTGATTGGATATGGGTTAGTACTGGCCTACTAACAGTCAACACAGCAGAGGGAAAGATACATTCATCAATGATGAAGTGCAGGTTAACATTCTGTTCTTCAAAGATGTTACTTCTTTTTTAGCCATTAATATCAGATGAATGTAGTACCTAAGGGATCATCAGGTATTCATTACACATGTTTCTGTCCCACTTTGCTTTAGGCTGACAAAACTGATGCTGCTGCTGACTCACCAGAAATCCCAGGTAGCAGGAGTTAGATTCAGCAGGTCTTTGTCATATCCTTTATGCTCCACCAGATATCTGGCAAAGCTCTCGTAGATAAGCTGTAAACACAAAGAGCACATACCATCACACACTGAAGTGTACAGAGAGTGCTACTGAATGCCAAAAATATACAGGTTTATATTCCAATTTAAGGTTATACTAAAGGCTTTCCTCATTCTTCTCTGGTGAAGGTTATTAGCATTTTTTCAACATGTTTTATACTGGGGGTTTATTTATACTGGGGGTTTATTTATTCATATCTAAACCATGCTTTTCTTTTCTTAACAAGTTAACACAGACTCATTGCCAAAAAAAGACCTATTATGACCCTGATATAATGAAGAACAACTAGTTATTGCTCATAACCGCTCAAGTTTTTTTTTTAATTTACAGCAATACTTATTATAGAATATGACCTCTATGAGTCAGCATAAGCATAGAAACAGCTGCACAAAGTATGGGTGCACAAAGGGAACCAATGAATTATAGTGCTCACAGACTCTAAAGACCCGAAGGTAACTATAAACTGGAGAGTTCAAGTACTAAGCTTGTCAGTATTTAAACCTTTCATGTTACACATATCTGTATGATGCTTTGTGAATATCAAAGGAAAAATCCACATCACAGCAGCTTTAAGTTAGTTTTCACTCACAGATAATAAACACTAGTCTATTAAAACTGGAAGACATCTCTATCACTGACATATCAATTATGTGATATGTGTAAAGAATTGAACTGTGCATATCTGACATTGATGGAAAACAAATGAACTCCAGGCCTTGGTAAGTTGCAGGAAACAGGGATTCAGCAGTCATTTATTTGTCATACGGTGTCACGGGATCCAGCAACACCCCGCGAGTCCGCAGTGTTGTCATTATTTACTCTAACGACATCAGATGAAGAAGGGTGTGAAAATGTGCTGGCTATCAGCAGGCCTCTGAGGGGACTTAAACACTTAAAGGCATGTATGTGTGAGCATCACCGCCGACGTTCACCCCGTGAGTCACGCAGAGTGACTGCAGCAGCGGCAGCATCACATCACATCCAACCTCCCACAGCACACACCAGCGTTTTCACCAGCGAGCCTTGATGCCAGTGAAAAATGCCACAGATGCCGAGCCCGCTGGCCAGCCACGAGTTATTTCTATTCCAGATGTGTTGCGAGCCAGCGCCTCGCGGCCACCGTACGATTGTGTGCGTGGGAAGCTAGCCGCGCGCGCTGCACACTCACCCTGGAGGTCTCTTTCAGATGGTAGCGGCAGAGCGTGTGGTCCAGGTCGAAGCCGATAACGTCGCAGTCCGAAAGGCTGAAGTATTCGCTCATTGTTGCTGAGGCTGGGGGACGCTCCGAAGCACCAACTTGGGCACAGCAGCACAAACACTCCGAGTGTGTCAATGTCACCGTGTGACGGCGAGGATGGCTCTGCGCTCTGCAGCCGCTGCGCTCTGCCTGCGCGAAAATAATCCCACCAGCGCGGCTTTTCCTCAACGCAAATGGCTGATCACAGAACGGTTAATGTCAATAAGTTGTCCACATGGAGGCAGAAGTTTAACTCCTTTGTGCCAGAAGAAGACAAGACAGCACGCAGTGCTTCCGGGTGTGAAACCGTAATACACAGTGTATAGGTATCGGGTAAATTAGGTAAAAGTCGTCCATCTAGGGCACGCAAAGGCTAATGCCTGCAGTAGTGATTGCAGCATCCCACCACTTACATATACCCGCACTTGTACAGATATAATTAGTCTCTCCAGTTGGAGGCTCTGGGAGATCACAACAATGCACGGTTTGTCACACAGAATAGATTAAATTAATCATGTATACACTGTACACAAACAGAAAACAGCAAATGCTTACAGACAACTCAACCTGATAGCCAGCGTTAAAGACAAATACAAAAAAAACTGGATCAAAAAATAGACAATGTAGAAAAACAAGACATAAATGCACAGAACACAAAGAAACTAAAATCACGAATAGATGAAAAAAACAACAAAGAATTAATAAATCTGGAAAACACAAAGTAATACAAACAACATTCATAAAAACATAAAGCTGTTTTTTCTGGTTGCCAGAAAAATAGCTTTAAAGATGATGAAGAATCTGCTGAAGAATCAGCATATATGCAAAAACATACTTCTAGTTTTGCTGCTTCAAAAATAAACACACACAAACAAAAAGAAGGACAATTCAAGTCTATGAACATGAACAAATGCAGCACAGTTGGCAGATATCTTGAATAGCCAAATCATGAATCTAAATCATGTGGTCTAAAATCATGTGTTTATCCATTTATTCTTCCTCTTTGTGAACATTTCCTTTTTTGTTATAAGAACGACCTGAAACTGGAGTGTACTTCACCTTTCACCCTGTGACAAATGGGACAGATTCTAATAGCAAAACTGAACTGAAGAAGTTAAGAAGATGGATAGATGGACAATGGCAATGCCAAGGAGCTGTCAGACCACACATGTTAAATAAATGTATACACAATATAGACTTTAAAAATAGTTTTAAGTTAAAAGTACATTACAAATTTAAGAGAATGTAAAAAAAAACATACATGAGAGCAGGCTGTAGTTGACTTATTTTACTCAGTGCTGATACAACCACCGCTCCCAAACCCAACCTTAATTTTAAGGTCAATTTGTCTTACACAGCTACCACCATCCAAATATCACCTGAAGTCGCCTTTGTTTGCACTACTGTAGGACCACTTTAGGCCATGACACATGCACATGCAATAACCTTACAGTAACCTGTCTTTCAATCTTTAGCTTTTTATTTTGTTCTCAAGAGAAAGCCTCTCATTTTTCAACAGCACACTTTTATAGTTTCTTCCCCACGTGTCGTGGATTTTACAGGACATGTAACGTGTCCAATAAGATTAATTTTAAATGTATTGGAGAAACATATTTGGTTTTGATTTATGTTTTCCTATTTTGTATATGTTTTATATTTGACCTTTTTCAAACAGAGTCGCAAAGCATTTTTATTTCAACAGCCCTTATTCCCCTTAATAACAAAATTTAACTATGTTTACCTCTTTCACCATTTCTACAGTTAAAAGAGGAAACAAAGGCCAGCAGTTAGAATCAAATTGTGGTGGCCTGTTATTTTGATATGTGTCTGAACTCCATCAGGAAGTCTGGCAGTAGCACCTCTATAGAGATGCAGTGAGTGTGGTATAGATAACAGATAGAAAGTACTACATGTTATTCCCACATCATGGAGAAATGCAATAACAACATTATGGAAATAAAAATATGAAATATGCAAATTATTTAAGCATTGCAAAATTAACCAAAACTATTAATGGAATGTGAAGAAACAGCAATGACTTAATGAACAAAACATCTATGAAGTATGTTGTAGAGATCTAATCTGAAGGTGAACAGTGTGCAGGCTGGTGTAATATCAGTATGTACCCTAAGGTGGTGTGGAAAGATAATGTCCCAGCTATCATGGGATGAAAGGCAAGGAGACAGAAAAACATTCACTCTTACAACTCCAGTCTTTCCTAACATGCATTCTTTGGAATGCAGGTGGAAATCTGCACACGCAAAGGGACCAATCCAAAAGGGTAGTTTCAGAAAGAGAAAAACTTTTAATCAAAGAGCTTGGTTATATAATGCAAACTGAGCTCCTACGTGAACATGATTCATAAATCACCGTAGTTGCTTTCTGGTAAGGAAGTCAGTGAGAAGAATGTTTGCTATGTTTGAAGCAAGAAGAACCAGTCGGTCGAGAGTGACGCATAGTAGCACTGTCCTGAAAAAGGTATCTTCCAGTCAAGTGGAGTTAGGTTTGACACGTATACTGCCCATCTCAAAATATGTTCATTTGTCATCATTTAAGTGTAATTTTAAATTCTCTTTGAATGTGTTACTGCATGTCAGTGTATTCATGTGTGGAAATAATTTTGTTCACAGAGGTTTTTTTTCTTTTTGTAAACATTGCATGAAGTAAGATTTGAAAAATCTTACTTCACCTTATTCTTGAGTTATCTTGTTCATAAAGTTGGGTGTCCGAACTGCACACCCACTTGCCCCACAGGTAGACAATACCTCATTCAGCTGAGGGTTAAAAACGGCGCATGCTCACTGGCTAACAGCTTATTATGATTAGCTAATAAGCCTCAGAAATTGCAAGCTAACAGCACTTCAGATTACAGCCCAGATAAATGCCACACCGAGTTCCAAAAGCAGACACATCTCTACATCAACTGTTCAGAGGAGACTGCGCGAATCGGGCCTTTATTGTCAAAGAATAGGTAAAAACACCAAGGAGAAGAGATTTGTTTGGGAAAAGAAAGACTGAATGGACATTAGACCAGTAGAAATCTGTGCTTTGGGCTGATGAGTCCAAATTTGAGATCTTTGGTTCCACCATCTTATACCTTCTGGAATGAAAAACAACTCCTCCATACATGTACTTACACACACACATCAGAACATCCTGTGGTACTTATATGTAATAAAAGATGAGACAAATATGTGAAAATAGATAAAACATAAATATGTGATATGAGGTATACATGGAATATAAAATAATAAGGTTTTGACTCCTGTCTTCTGTCTGTACTGCAAAGTGATTTCAACACGTGTATCGTTCTGTTATCTGGATTCACTCACCATTACAATAGGAGATAGGATAAATGGTCACTTGAAGCTGGTTATTCACAAGCCATCCTGGTCTAGGTTTGAGCATGCTCACATGACAGGGGTGCCATTGGCAACATCTGGTCATTTACACTGATGGCTTACATTTTATGGTCAGTAAAACTGGAAAAGAGCTACTACAGTGGTGTGAGGAAGTGTTTGCCTGCCTGCTGATTTCCCATTTTTTTGTATGTTGGTCATACTTAAATCCTACAGATCAAACAAATTTAAATATAAGATAAAGATAACACAAGTAAACACAAAATACAGGTGAAGGTGTTCATTATGGGGGGGGGGGATCCAAACCTGCAGGTCTGTAAAACAGGTTTGTTTTACAAACCTGATAACCTTTAGCAGCAACAATTGCAATCAAGCATTTGCAATAACTGGCAATGAGTCTTTTACAGCTCTGTGGAGGAATTTTGGCCAACTCATCTTTCCAGAATTGTTGTCATTTAGCCACATTAGAGGGTTTTCAAACATGAACCACCTTTTTCACATCATGCCACAGCATCTCAATTGGGTTCAGGTCAGGACTTTGACTGGGCCATTTCAAAGACTTCATTTTGTTTTTCTTTTGAACTTCAGCTACAGGTCATGAACAGGTGGGCAGACATTCCCCTTCAGGATGTCTTGGTAGACAGCAGAATTCAAGGTTCCATTTACCACAGCAAGTCTTTCAGGTCATGAGGTACCAAAACAACCCCAGTAGGGGGGATTACTCCGGGCATTACTCCAGACAGGCTGATGGCCTCTGTGCACGTCTGGGTGACCTATGCAGGAAGGTAAGGTAAGAACTATTATGAGTTTTTGGGTCTTCTGAGTTTTCTCTAGGTCATTGTTTTATGCCTCTGTATTCTGTCTTATTATTTAGCCTATTACTGTTACCTGCAACAGACTGGCGCCCTGTCCAGGGTGTACCCCGCCTCTCGCCCTATGACAGCTGGGATAGGCTCCAGTGCCCCCTGTGTCCCTGAAAAGGACAAGCGGAAGCATAGTATACAGGAACATCTGTGCCCAGTGTAACCTGGAAATCCCAAGGTCAAAATGGGAGCCGCCCCCAAGGGTGGTGGAGAATGACCGAGCTAAGATCCTGTGGGACTTCCAGATACAGATGGACAAAATGGTGGTGGCTAACCAACCGGACATAGTGGTGGTAGACAAACAGAAGAAGACGGCCGTAGTGATACATGTAGCAGTTTCCAATGACAGCAACATCAGCAAGAAGGAACACAAGAAGCTCGAGAAATACCAAGGGCTCAGAGAAGAGCTTGAGAAAATGTGGAGGGTGAAGGTCACATTGGTCCCAGTGGTAATCAAAACACTAGGTACGGTGACTCCCAAACTAGCCGCGTGGCTCCAGCAGATCCCAGGAACAACATCGGAGATTTCTGTCCAGCAGAGCGCAGTCCTAGGAACAGCTCCCAGGCCTCTGGTAGAGGACCCGAGCTTGAAGGATAAACCACCCGCAGGGGCAAGAGGGGATTTTTTTTTTGTATGCATGTTGTCTGAGTCCTCCCTTGCCCTTTTAAATTATATGTTCCCGACCCGAACCGTGTTTTGTTTTGTAAGTGCAAAGTAATAAAGCTGGTTTTGAGTTTTTATGTCCCATCTTCTGACTCATCCTCCCGCCTGCCACACAGCATCCTTGACAAAAATAACATCAAAAATCAACATGCTTTCTCAACATCTGAGAGTCTGTTTTAGTGCCAGTGTTGAGAAAGCACTGCACATCTCTCCTAGTCACAATAGACCCTAAATACTTCCTGAGAGAATCTCAGCTTATGGAGAAGCTTTGGCACCCCGGGCTTGTCCAGTTGTCTGCAGCAGGGAGGGCCTGTCTACATCATCACAGAACTCATGACAAATGGTAGCCTTCTGGAATATCTAAGTAAGACGGCAACACTATTTATTTTCCACATTTGACCCTGTCATAAAGCAGAAGCAGCTCAAAATCACTTGAGCA